TGACATTCCTCTCCCTGGATATCCTTCCTCCCCAACCATCCAGACCCTGTCACCTTTCAAGACCCACTCACAAAGCCATCCTGGACCCCTACAGCTGGAGTTTAATCTCATCTCCTTTGAACTGTCAGAGCACTTCACACTTGGTCTACGGCCGTTTATATACTTGTTTCATTTCCTTAAGGACTGTAAGCTCTTGGAGGACAGAGTCCATAACTAATTCATTTTTGTATCCCTCAATCTCATATCTAATAGACCCTCAGTAAATCGTCCATGAATGAACTGGAAAATAACTCTCCCAGTATGTTAGAAACCTGAGTCTAGGGTGGGTCCATAGTCTCAGAGATAAGCAAAATAATTGGAATCGGTTCAGAATAGAATAATGAAGCAAAACAGTTAAAAGGTAAAATAAACAATCTATACTGGGTATGTTTGGTGGAGGTCAAAGGAAGTCAGCCTAGAGAAGTGAGCTTTAGAAAGTGATATCAAGGGATCTTCAAATATATTAAAGAGATATTATTAAAAGAAGTCCTGAACTTCTTTTATTGGAGCAAAACAAAAAATTACTCAGATTTCAGGCTTCCCTGGTGGCGCAGTGGTTGAGAGTCAGCCTGCCGATGCGGGGGACGCGGGTTCGTGCCCTGGTCTGGGAGGGTCCCGCATGCCGCACAGCGGCTGGGCCCGTGAGCCATGGCCGCTGAGCCTGCGCGTCCGGAGCCTGTGCTCCGCAACGGGAGGGGCCACGGCCGTGAGAGGTCCGCGTACCGGAAGGAAAAAAAAAAATTACTCAGATTTTAATGGAGCAATATGAATCAGGCCTGCTGAAGAACTACTAGGGTGATGCGACGAAGGGTAGAGGTAAGTGCCATGCCTTCTTCCATCCCTGTAGGTACCAAAGTATATGATGACAAGAAGGACTCTGGTAAAGTATTTTTTACAAAATTACAAAATCAATTGCAAGCTTTTAAGTTGTAGGGGTTTTTTGTTTTGTTTTGTTTTTTTTTGTTTTAAGATGCTGAAACCTGTTTTAAAGGAGAAGGGGGATTTAGACCAGGAAGGAATGGGAGAGACTCACGTCTGGGATTTAGAAAGCAAAATGGGACCAACTCACAGAGAGAGAGACAGCCTTTGATGTCCTGACGATCAAGGACCATGGCTTAAGGACCAGACTCTTAAATCACGTGGCATTTACTGCCCGAGATAAAAAATACTTTTGTGGATCAGTGTCTGTGGTTCAAAATGGCTAGGTTCCAAAATCAGTCTTAACTTTCCAAGGGTAACATTTGGAAGGCTCCTTGCAAGAATCGAGTGGAGCCAGTTTCTAGAAGGGGCAGCTTAATGATTTTCTACTCCCCTCACTCTCAAGTCGTTACGCAGCCGTTCCTTTCCCAGAGCCCAAGTTCATGCTGAGGGCAAAGGGAATTAAAGGAAGAAGCGGAACCTGCAGCTAAGATTAGAGAGTTGCCAAGGGCCTAATTTTAGGTCCTAGCTGCCCCAGCTGATGTCCTGCACTGCTGGCTCAGCCGTGAGGACCACAAGTGTGGCCGTAAGCAGATGACTTGAGTGGGTAGAGTGTCTCCCAGGCCATCTGCAAAAGCAATTAGCTTGCTGTTGGGTGTGTTTTGAGAGAGACTACCAATTATTTCTCCTTCAACTAATGTTTCTTCAGGTGTTCAAAAGTCAATAAGGGAAAATGTGAGCGCTTGGCAGAAATTCCCACATGCTTGCCATTCTAGTATTCATGCTTCTCCACTTAAGAATGTGCTCCGAAAGGGAACTAAGCCCAGAATTCCTGGATTTTCGTGGCAAGTGACCCCCCGATTGCCTCCGGGCATAAGCTTACTGCCACACATTAGGGACAGTGTTGTTTGGGACCCCTCGGCTTCGTGAAAACAGACATGGATGGATGAGAGCAACCCTTGCATTTTGTGGGGAATTTCTGTGCCCTGCTTCCGCTGGGATTTAGGCTGTCTTTCCACTCTTCACACGGTTCCCAGCCTCAGGTTTCATGCTTAAATTGTCTTCGTCAGAGGGCAGACAATAAGAGCTGGAATCTCCCAGATCAAAGGGGAAACAGAATATATTTTAAAGTGACAACTTTGTTATCCTGCAACCGGAATAAAACCAGAATAATAAAATAATACAAATATAACCCCGTAAGTGATTCCACACTGCCACCAGAGAGCAAAATTTCTTGCATAATTATGGCAGGGAAACTCTCTTTACACACCACTCACAAGAGCATGTCTTATTTTTGCACAGTTCTTATGCCTGGGGCAGCCCACCCCTTGGATGGAGACTGTGTCCCTGAGGGTTGGGAACTGTGATAACCGGCCGGTTCTTCCTGTCTGCAAAGGGGGCTCTTAATAAAGGCTCATTGCCATGGACAATGAAAAAGTAGGCTGGCACTGCCCGGCCAAGGGAGTGCACCCTTAGAAGACGTGCCCTTGGTGAGGGCCAACGTTCTCAAGGTGCACAAACTGGCCCCAGTGGCTGCTCTCTCTTACTCTATTTTTCTTTCCAATTTTCCTGGTACCTTTGCTTTCCCTGTCTTCTTGTCCACGTCCTATCTGTCGATCTGTCTCTAAATCTATTTCTGCACCCCCCCCACACGCGCGCGCGCGCGCGCGCACACACACACACACACACACACACACACCCCGATCTGCCCCCCTTCCCCTGTCTGTTGCCGCTGGCCCTTTCATCTTCTCCCTCGGGGATTCGAGATGTCGCTGCAGGAAGTGCTTGTCGGCGGAGGCAACAGCAGCAGAGCCCTGTGGCTTTGACAAACCTCATTTAATTGGGAGGAAGCCAGGAGAATTTGAAAGAACTGAAACATCCACGAAACTCCTTTTATCAGGCATAATTTAAACTCTGCATGGAAAAACCCCTATATGTATAAAGAAAAGTCAACTTCCCTCCTGCTGTGAGCACTCCTTGTCTCCCCGACAGCACAGGCAGGCTCCTGCAAGATTCCATCTTTTCATTTTTCTAAAAGTGTCAAAGTAGATTTGGGCTCTGTGGCTGGGTGAACAGAGAAGGAATACAGATTGGTCCCTCTCCTACACCTGCATGTGCACGCACACACACGCACACACACACACACACACACACACAACAGAGTCCCTGTGTTGGTGGCTTTGCTTCAGATGACCAGGATGAATCAAAACCCAGGTTTCTAACAACACATCAGTTTGCACAGTGATTTTCTCCTAATTACTCTTCATCAAGGAAAAGCTGGTGCCCAGAAAACTTTGAAGATCCCCAGTGGTTCTCAGTACACAGAATAATAAATCCTGGAGGAGGGCCCATGGGAGAAGTTTCTTTAAATGGAGAGAGGGAGCGTGAATGTGTGTGTGTGTGTACACCCCCAGTGTGTATACCTGCGTGAAGTGGTAGCTGGAAGCCCCAAGCCCAAGAGGAGAAAGCTAAGAAGGGGGGATCTAGGGGTTCAGACTGGGAAGAGGGGATTGAGATGGGAGTAGGGGAGCGGATGGGGCTAAAGCTTGGGGTGAGGTACCAGGAAGGGCGTAAGAATTGTAGGTCTGGTGGAATGTCCTTTATTCTACCCATATGCCAAGCCACGTCCCTCCCCTCCTTCCAAATTCTACTCCAGAGTCACCTCCAGTCTCATCCATCTTACTTGAGTTATTCTAGTTCCTCCAAAGAATTGCCTTTAGCGCACACATATTCTCTGAACATCTGCAGCTGATTATGCACAGGCTTTAGCTGTTTAGATATGATTTGTGCTAATATGTGTATGAGGGTGTCCTGTTTCCTCTTCCTCACCCTCTTTTCCTCCCACTTCATAGGATCCTTGAGGTCAAGGACAAGCCTCTTTTTTCCCTCAAGTTTTATAGTACTTAATATGTTCTTGACACTTGATGGCAACTTAATAAATACTGATGACCGACTCTTCTTACAGGGTTAAGCAAGACATTAACCCCAGTTGTATGATTATGGTTATTTTTGGAGATCCTAAATGACTCACTTTAATAATAAAATACCTCAAGAAATCCCAAACTAAGAGCTTTGGGCTGATGCAGGACAATGTCCCAGTTACAGTGGAGCTGCATTTGCAAACCCTGGAGACTTTGGCCAGACCACATGCCTAAGCCTACTGAACAGGAGCTCCCCACCCCACGCCCATCCTCGCCCCATCACACCCCCCAGTCCAGGACCCTCCCCCCAGTCTGAGCCCCTAGACCTTCCTTATTAGCTTTCTTCTCTCTGGCTCAGGACTTCTAAAAACTGTTTTCAGTTGAATGCTGGATGTTTTCAAAGAAACTCCACCTAAGGATAGTGCCCCGCAAACAGCCGGGGCCATGACTGCCCTGCCCACAACTTCTGCACAGCCTTTCCTGGCCACCTTCTGAGAAACATGAGGAGTGCTCTAGCCACATGATCTCTCAGAAGTTTTCAGGTTTGGAGGATGACTTCATGCCCAGGCAGCAAAGCTGATTTCAGGTTAACTTGTGCTTCCCGTGAGCGTCCAGCCTGGGAGGACGCTCCCCTCTCCCCATGCCCCACCCCGTACTTCCTTGGGCAGCATCAGATTACCAATCAAGACAGGCCCAGCTCTCCTCTCCCGATATATCCATGTCACCTATCATCTTACTCTGCTGAAAGAGAAAAGGGAGTTGTGAGAAACTTTGGTTTTGCTTCTCCTGGCAGATGCTAGTGAAAGCAAACTCAGAGGCAACTTTCATCTCATCCAGTTTCTAAGAGTAAGTGAGTATATGGGAAATGTTTGGATCATTACAAGGAGATCTGTGTCACCTCAACCCTCAACTTCTGAGTTTTAGAAAATCGCAAAAAAAACCCTCAGGCAAGATTTGAACCCATCTCACTTCTCCCAGCTCTAAGCTCACTTCTGGTTGCAAATTCTATAATTCTCCAGTGCACTGAGAAAATACTTAGACACCGAGACTTATATGTGTACATGAATACACTAAACACACACACACACACACACACACACACACACACACTCCCTTGCTCACCATCAGGAAGTTGGTGCAGCTGAGCAGGCAGGGCCCTGAAATAATTGTGAACCAGTGCTTCCTGGGCGGAGACACGGTCTCTTGGAAAGCCTTTCAGCATTTGGGAGGCCAGGTCTTCAGCTTCCGGAGCCCTGTCTAACCTGGAAAAGTGAGAGAGAAAAAGAGTTTCTCCAGAGGCCTCACTTCTGAAAAATCAAGGGGGAAAGAAGAAAAGCAAAGAAAAGGAGATGGCTAGAAGAGTTTCAAATAGAATTTTTCTGGGACTAGTAAAGTTGATGGCAAGTTGAAACTCTTACCTGTCCTGTTACTAAGATTAAGGGAAATTTTCAGCATTGCCACCATTCAGCCCCCACCCCCGCCCCCTCCACCGTGGCTCTCGGTACCAGGTGTACATAAAGGACCTGGAATTGTAATAATAGAAACAGAAATATATAATTAAGGATTCTTCTTTGAGGGACACAGCGGCCTCTAGCAAGCAGAAAAGCCCAGATGGAAATATGTTCCAAGGGTGGCAAGCACAGAATCCTAGGAGGGGAAGAGGGAAAGAGGAGACTCTGGAGGGTGAAACTTGGGTGGAAAAAACCCTTATTTACAGTGTTTCTGAAGCTCAGCTCCTAGGGTTTGTCTCTAAGAAGCTCTATTGGTTTCCCCTGAGATAGAGCATAGGCAAGAAAGATAATTAAGTACCCAAATTACAGTAAGGACAAATCCTCAAGTTGACCTTATGTTGAATTATAAATTTGGAGTTGAGCAAATCCATTAGCTGAGCAACTACTATGTAGGCGGTTGGATCTGGGAGATGCAGGGAAGCTGTCTTCTGGCAGCTTAATCTCGCAGAGGAGTCAGACACTAATCAAATGGTCATACTAATGCATAAGCACAATTGGGAAGAAAAAGGTCCAGACTTGGGAGGTGGTCAGGGAGAACTTTCCTGAGGAAGCAGCATTTGAGCTGAGAGCTGAAGACCTGGGGCAGGGGAGGGGCAGGCGTTGCAGACCCCCAGGGTGGGAGGGAGAAGAGTTATTTTAAAGAAAGGAAGAAAGGCCAGTTTGCTGGCCTGGGACAAAGAGGAGAGGGGCCTGATATGAAGCTGGGGAGGGTGGCAAGGGTCTGACCCTGCAGGCCCTGTGGGTCTTCCATGCTTCCTATTTACTTACAGTGGCTGAAAGTCTTTGCTAATCTAGTGCCAATCATTTAAGTGCACCCATCTCTAGAGCCCACAGACAGGTTTACAAGTGGAAAGCACAAGACAGAAAACTGTGCTGATCCAGAGAGACAGTTAACTGCCGAACTGTTGCCTGACGTTCAGAATTCAGTTGCATGGCCATGCAACTCCCCAATTAAGCAAAAACAGATGAGCTTCCTTAAGGTTGAATGTACCTACCAACCTGAAGCGAGAAACAGATACCCTTTCCCTCCCCAGGTGCCATGATGCAGTGATGCAGGAAGCCCTGGCCCAGAGTTGGAATTTGCCTAATTTTTGCATAAGATTTGCATAAAAAACTTTCAGGTATCTGACTCCCATGACATAAAACTCTTTCTGCAAACAGATAACTAATTCTACCCTCAAACTCAAGAGTAAATGCTTCACAGACTTAAAATAGACAAGAAATCTGCATATCCCCGGTCCTTGCAAATTTCCAGGCCAGCTGGAAGAGAAGGGAACCAGGGGTGGAGGCCTGCTTCGTCGTTTGTGGCCTGAAGTGCTGGCGGGTCTTTTCTCCATCTAGGGTGCCCTGCCCAGGCGCAGATTTTCAGGGCCAATGAAATAGGAGTCCAGAGTGCAGAAGCTGGTTCCAATCAGCAGGACCCAGGACCCGTCTGGAAGGAGACTCAGGGAAAATCCGTTTTCACTACAGGGTGGTGGAGTGGGATGCGTGCCGAAATTAGGGCCTGAAACCTCTCTGAACTTCCGGGGGTGGGCGGGTGGACAGGTGGTTATGGGGGCGGGGAGGGCAGCGATGCATCCACCTCCACACTGCACCCCAGTCAGAGATGTGTTTCCTCGGCACACTCCCACCCAGCTTGCTCATAACAACTGAATTGTTACAGAACTGCTCTAGAGAAGGGGCTTAGGAGCTGCGATCTCATTGGGCAAGGAAGGCTAGGGGACTTGTTCCAACCGGTGTTAGCTCGGGCGTACATACTGGTTTCATTTAGACTGTATCTAGGTGGGGTGGCTGCCGGAGGCAGGAAAGGCTGATGTAGCTTACGGGGCTTGTGGGGACACATAGAAGCAGAGCAGGCCACTTCCGGCGGACAAATGAAAGAAAGGAGAGTGGGAACCGGTCAGTAATATGGAGACTTCTTCTTGAGGACTTTCCTCTTCAACTAACCAACCTTCCCCCGACCCCACCCCACCCCCCGGCCCCCGCCCTTCCCATGAGGTTGTGTCCAGGCTTTTAGTGGCGTTGGGACTTATTTCAATCTCACGGCCTCCAAACTGTGACCGCCACCACCTACTTCTGCTCCTCAGCTGGTAGAGGCGGAGTATACACATGAAGGCTTTTCCTCGGGTGAGACAATCTCACATTGGTCTTCCCCGTATAAACCAAATACGTGCCCTCCTGACTACGAGCCTTTACTAGTAGCATAGTAAAGGCTTATAGTAGGACCACCTGATCTGGACAAGCATCCTAAGAATCTCCACCTTGCTATGATCTCTTATTTGGGAGCTGAGAAAAGAGCCCTAGGGATACAGATGTTGCTTCTTTGGGCACAAATGTTAATTTACCTCCACGTTTGTATAATTCTGCTTCTTTCTGCCATCTATAGTCTTGTTTACTATCCATTGCCTTTATTGGCACATTTCTACAATTTTCTACCTCCTCTAACTCCTACCCGAACAATTCTTCACTGGTTACAACCCCTGCTTTGGAAATGAAAGTTGACATGAAAAGCGAACATCGCAAAATTAATTTGCCTACTAGCACATTTCCATATAGGCTGAATGTTAATAGATATTATTTGTTAGGCTTGTGATATTAGCTATGGAACATGCCAGGAGTACCTTGCAAAGTTAAGAGAACCTACCACCCAATTAATGGGAGTCTGTTAATAAAGACAAAGAATCCTCTGGTGAACCTCTCCTACTAGTAACATTTCCAGAATTGAGAAGCGTTCCATTGTCAGAATAATACGTTTGTTGTAGAACACTTAGAAAATGCAGAGAAAGAAAACTGAAGCTATCTCATCACGCTGAGATGACCCTTTTCACTCAAAGATAATCACCATTGCTTTAGTGTTTATTTATTCTTTAGTCCTTTATTTTTATACAGATCTATTTTTTGTTTTACAAAAAAATGGGATCATACTCTACATGCTGTTCAACCTACTTTTTGCACTTGACTGTCTTGATCATCTTCCCAGGACTTTGAATAGCCTTCTGGGACATAGTTTTAATGACTGCAGAGCATTTCACTATGTAGCTATACCATAGTCCACATAGCCAAACGCTTATTGAAGTTGTTTCCTTTCTTGTTGGGGTGTAAGGGGCTACTATTAAAATCATGCTGTGACAAATATCCTCAAAGATAAATCATTGCGTACTTGTGCAATAATTTCCTTAGTATAAATTCTGGAAATTGAAATTCCCAGGTTGAAGGATACTATACAACATGTTAAATTTTTTTTTTTTTTTTTTTTGCCGTACGCGGGCCTCTCACTGTTGTGGTCTCTCCCGTTGCGGAGCACAGGCTCCGGACGCGCAGGCTCAGCGGCCATGGCTCACGGGCGCAGCTGCTCTGCGGCATGTGGGGTCTTCCCTGACCGGGGTACAAACCCGCGTCCCCTGCATCGACAGGCAGACTCTCAACCACTGCGCCACCAGGGAAGCCCTCTAAATTTTTTGATTATCAGCTAGTTGTCCCAATTTCCATTTCCACCAGCATTCCGGGAGAGCTCCTGTCTGTGTGTGCAAAGAAAACAAATTCATTCCAGCCAACCTGAATTGCCACGGGCCCCACTGCTCATGATAGTGGTAAAAGGATTATAATTGTAAATCAATCCTGAAAGATGTGCTGGGTGTGAGGACATCCACATTTAATTTTAGAAGTCCAGAATAGAAACATGAACAATAAAAAGTTACTCAACATATCTGGAATCTGGTGGCTTTCAGGGGCCTAAGGCAACTGCCTTGATTTCTCTGCACAGCCTGGCTCTGAGTATAAAACTCTCCCACTGCCATTGCTGCCAGCAGGTTGATGGGGGAAGGGCTTTATCTGTTTGCAGCACAAGGCTGGTCACGGTGAGTTCAGCTGGGTTCTTTGTTGTTTTCCCCTAGATCCACAGAAAGAGAAAAAGGGCAGGGATAGAGCGGTCACTTTCTTTTTTCCAATTTTTCAATTTGTTTTTATTTTGAAGTGATTTTAAGTTTACAGAAGAGTTTCAGGAGTAATAGTTGTATGTTTCACTAGCTTCCCCTAATGTTAACATTTCAGATAGTCATAGTAAAATTATCAAAACTAAGTAATTAATAGGCAATATTATTAACTAAACTGCAGACTTTATTCAAATATCAAATATTGGTTTTTTTCGATGGTGACCTTTTTGTTGTTGTTGTTTCAGGAGAGTGGGTACTTTTTTAGTGCTGTCAGTTTAGGATGTGGTAAAGCAGATATCCCCAATAAGAAATATCTCCAATAGGGCTTCCCTGGTGGCGCAGTGGTTGAGAGTCCGCCTGCTGATGCAGGGGACGCGGGTTCGTGCCCCGGTCCGGGAAGATTCCACATGCCGCGGAGTGGCTAGGCCCGTGAGCCATGGCCGCTGAGCCTGTGCATCCGGATCCTGTGCTCCGCAACGGGAGAGGCCACAACAGTGAGAGGCCCACGTACCGAAAAAAAAAAAAAAAAAGAAATATCTCCAACACTAGAAAGAAACAGCATCAGAGAAGCTGTCCTATAATTTCCTAATCAGTCTAACCAGTGAGTGTGCACTTACTAGGCCCATGTTAATCGCAATCCCATCAAACCCCAGACAAGGCCTCGAGGTGCATTTCCAGTCCACTCACAGTTCCTCTGCTCCTTGGCAGAAATATTGTAAAAAAGCCAGTGACAACAAGGCTATTCTTTACTCATCACACTTGCAACTTGACTCAACTGACAAAGCCACAGAGACCTGGGTACCAGATGAAGCCCAGCCCTACCGCTTACTTAGCTTGATGACTTTGGCCAAGTTACTGAACTTCTTTGAGCTTCAGTTTCCTTCTCTTTGAAATGGGAATGAGATTTGTGAGGCATAAGTGAAATAACATGTACAGCCCCCTACTAGGCACACAGCAAGCATCCCACCTAACCTTAGTCCCCTTTCAATGACAAAGCCCTTCTCAGAGCCAAGAGGTTTCTCAAGTGATAACTTAGGCCAGTGCTGTCTAATAGAACTTTCCGAGCTGATGGAAAAATCCTGTTTCTGCCCCGTCCCATATGGTAGCCACTACTCACATGTGGCTATTGAGCCCTTCAAGTGTGGCTACTGCAACTGAGCAGCTAAATTTTTTTTAATTGAAGTATAGTTGATTTACAATATTGTGTTTGTTTCAGGTGTACAGCGTAGTGACTCAGTTTTGGGGGTTTTGTTTTGCAGATTATATTCCATTATAGGTTATTACAAGATATTGGATATAATTCCCTGTGCTATACAGTAAATCCTTGGAGTAACTGAATTTCAAATTTAATTTTAAATAATGTAAATTGAAATAGTCACATGTGGTTAGTGGCTATGGTATGAGACAGCACATCTCTAGACATTACTCCTTGCTTTGAGAATCTGAGCAAAGAGAAGCCAGGAGTCTGAGCTAAGGCAGAGGTATTGCTGGGAACGAGGCAGTGGGCCGAGGTGTTGCCTATGGTCAGAAAAGCCAGCGGGATGTTCAGCGAGTCCACGTCCTGCTGAGCCTAGAAGGAAGGGCTGGCTGGGCGGCTGCAGGCGCTTTCTCCTGCCATGCGACAGTGACGACAGCAGCAGTGCAGGGTAGTAAGGCAGTCTGCAGGTTTGGAGTTACCGTTTATTTTGGAAGCCAGTGGTGAAATGGAAGAAAACCACAGGGCAGCATGAAAATCCAAATCCCTCTAGTTAGGGGTTAGGGAGCCTGACTATGCGGGCAAGAGGAAGTTTGCACGTCTTGCACGAAATGATACACAGCAGTTCCCTGGAACCTGTCTCCAAAACAACGGGGAGTTTCAGGTGATACAGTGCGTTTGAAAATAAGAGTGCAGCGCGCGGACACCCTGGGGAGAATCGTCCCTCCCAAAAAAAGATCCTTTGCTAGTTCATAGTTCTGTCTTCCGACCTATTTCACTCTTTGTGCTCTGATATCCACTCTCCGTGGAGGCTTTTTAAAGCACATGAACAGTAAGTATGGGGAAAAAAATCAAACAAACTTTGGTTGGGTTAAACCCTACCACATTTTCAGGGAAGAGCAACGTTCAAACGTTCAGTGAGGGTCTCTTTCTCTTCTCCCCACCTGCAGGAGGGTGTTTTTCTTTGACATTTGAGCCCCTTTCCCCTGTCTCTGATGTTTTTCTCACTGCCTTGTTTGTCTCCTCACTGAAGCAAAAAGAACAGAGCCTCGGCTAATTACTCTCAGATCAAATAATACTGGTTATTGTAATTGGTCATTGTCCGAAAACACTGAGTTCTTCTTAGCTCTGAGGTTGCCTGGCACGGCTTAGTTAGCTAACTATTCCGGGAATGTCTCTATTATCTGTTTTACTTTGCAAAAGAAACCGGGGACTTGTTGAAAGCTGGTAATAAAAGTCTGCCCTGGTCCGAGCGGAGGCTGCGTAGAGAGGGCCTGGGAAAGCGTGGCCTCCATGAATCACGTTGCCCCCCAACAGCTGCTCAGTGACGTCACTTGGTTTCTGTGTCGGAGAATAATAAACCCACTAGGTCTTCTTACAGGCCAACGCTCCCTCGTTCTCAGGGCCTCGGGCAGGGTTGAGGGGCGCAAAACAATTTTAATGACCAAACTCACGGGAAGTAAAATGGTTCACAGAGAAAAACTAACAGACTCACAGGTGGCTGCCTGTCCAAGAGGCGTCTTCCTGGGGCTGAGGGCCCCCAGATCAAGGTGCTCAGGGGCTGGGTGTTCATCAGGATGAGGCCCAGGGAAATGTCCCTTCAACCCTGCTGAAAGATAAGCTTTCCAAGGCGGTACTCACCGGTTGCAGACATTCTGAAGGCTCTGAGGCTTAGGCAGTGGGAACCATTCTGGAAAGCACACATAGACACGTTAAAAGACAAAAACAACCCTAAAATCCTGTTGCCAAAAATATTATTAAAATTCTAAATGCTCTTCTTGGCTTGGGGTAACAGGGAATTCAGTTATCAGGTAGGCAAACTAAATGAGTTTAAGTTTAAATGGAAGGTCACCATTCTGGGTTGAGCTGTGTCCTTCTCCCGAATTCACAGGTCAAAGTCCTAGGCCCAAGTACCTCAGAATTTGACCTTATTTGGACACAGGGTCGTTGCAGATGTAATTAGTAAAGATGAGGTCATTAGGGTGGACCTTAATTTAATATGACCAGGGTCCGAATAAAAAAGGAAATTTTGGACATAGAGACGGACATGTATAGGGGAAGACAAAGAAGAGACAGAAGGAGAAGACAGCATGTACAAGCCAAGGAGAGAGGCCTGAACAAATCCTTCCCTCAGAGCCCTCAGAAAGAACCAATCCTGCCAACACCTCAAGTTCAGATCTAGCCTCCAGAAGCGAGAGATGATAAATTTCCATGGCTTAAGCCACCCAGTTTGTAGTACTTTGTTACAGCATCCCTAGCAAACTAAAATAATACAGTCACAATATTTAATGTCTGCTGTGTGCAGAACATGTGCCGAGTGCTGGGAGAATACAAAAGTAATCACAAGAAGCTTCCCCACTCCTACAGAGCTTACAATTCATTGGAGAGAACAAAACGTGCTTGCCCCACCCCCCTCCAAGAAAACTCATGTGACAAATGAGGGGGCAAAGTCTTAAAAACTCAGAAGTGGTTAAAACGTTAACGGGACTAATTTTATATGTCACTTACAGTAAAGGTGGAAGTGAATCCTGGCTTGAATAATCCAAAATGGATGATAATAAGATTTGTAATTTTCTTTGGAGCACTCTTTACAACATTACATGTGGATACATGTGTTTCTATTTTTTTTTTTTGATACTGACACTATTTAACCCAAAATAAAACCACTATAAAAGGAGACAATTTCTTATTCATTCAAGAAATACTAATTACATGCTTACTCTATGTAAGGGTGCTAAAAGGGGCTACAAGGATGTAAGCTTATGCTGCTTATCAAATCCTTCTATTTCCGACTCCAAATTGAGAAAAGAGTATTTCAACTCTCATGTAAAAGGATGTTTTTGCTTTATATTTTCCTTGGGCCTGAAATGTAATTCTCTTGGTTTTAAAAGCTCTCTTCTTCCAGCTCCTATAGGAATGGAATATAGCAAGACTGTTTATCCAACAAAGAATTTAATCATAGTTGGGCAAAAGATGGTTTTGACAATACTGACCTTTTCATGTCTGTATGTATATAGAAAAAGCCCTGGAAGACCACTCACCTGATCGTGATAATGGTCACTAGGGCTTACCCTTCTCACTTCTATGCTAATTTTCTTAAATTTATTTATTTTTAAATAAAAAGCACATATTACTTGTCTAACTTCAAAAATATGTTCAATTAAAGATGGACATTATGGTATTAAGAGTTGTAGAATGAAAGCTGTGATCAAAGAACATGATTTAAGCTGAGTTTTCAAGGTCAGATGCAATCAAATGTGAACTACTCTGCTGGCAGTATTTTTTTAAAATAAATTTATTTATTTATTTATTTTTGGCTGTGTTGGGTCTTCGTTGCTGCGCGCGGGCTTTCTCTAGTTGCGGCGAGCGGGGGCTACTATTCGTTGCTGAGCCAGGGCTTCTCATTGTGGTGGCTTCTCTTGTTGGGGAGCATGGGCTCTAGGCGCGGGCTTCAGTAGTTGTGGCTTGTGGGCTTTAGAGCGCAGGTTCAGTAGTTGTGGCTCAGGGGCTTAGTTGTTCCGCAGCATGTGGGATCTTCCCGGACTCGGGCTTGAACCCATGTCCCCTGCATTGGCAGGCAGATGCTTAACCACTGCACCACCAGGAAAGCCCTCTGCTGGTGTTTTATAGTCCCAGGTGGGCACTAAGGGAAGCACTTGCCTATACCGGTTATTTACTCTCTCTTCAGGTGATTGTGCCTAAATTCAAATAACCAGTAAAGATAAGAATACCTGGCGGGCTTCCCTGGTGGCGCAGTGGTTGAGAGTCCGCCTGCCGATGCGGGGGACACGGGTTCGTGCCCTGGTCTGGGAAGATCCCACATGCCGCGGAGTGGCTGGGCCCGTGGGCCCGTGGGGCCATGGCCGCTGAGCTTGCGCGTCCGGAGCCTGTGCTCCGCAACGCGAGAGGCCACAGTAGCGGGGGGCCACAACAGGGAGAGGCCCGCATACCACAAAAAAAAATAAATAAAAAAAAAAAAAAAAAAAAAGAATACCTGGCATTTGTTCAGAATGTTTATTTCCAGACCACTTTCTGCTGCCTACTGACAGTTTTCCCTGGCTAAACAAAATTAAAATATTTCCTCATTCAGTCATATCCCAATTTCCAATTGATATAGTGAGATCCATTTCAATACTCTCCCATGTTTTGTTTTTATGTGCTGCGGGTTTTGGCCTTTAGTATTTTAATACAATTGCTGGCTTTAGTGTTGTTCTTGTGGAACATGGGTTTGGAATTAGCTGAATTAGGGTTTGAACACTGAACCTAGGGTTTGAAACTACTGCTTCAAGTTCACTGTGACCTTAAGCAAGATACTTTCGCCATGGCCAGCCTGTTTCCATAACTCAAGTTGGAGGTCATAGTCGCCTCACAAGGACTAAGTGATTTGTTGAATTTATGGATGCAGTGAGATAACGAATGTAACGTGCTGGCCTCAGAGCATTAAATAAATCCTATTTCCTTCCCCTTCTTTCTCTTCCTTTGAAAAGTGATGGGCAATGCAAACTATGTGTAGTTGGGACCTGGACTTGGTTTTTTTTTTTTTTTTTTTTGCGGTACGCAGGCCTCTCACCGTTGTGGCCTCTCCCGTTGCAGAGCACAGGCTCCGGACGTGCAGGCTCAGCGGCCATGGCTCGTGGGCCCAGCCGCTCCGCAGTATGTGGGATCTTCCCGGACCGGGGCATGAACCCATGTCCCCTGCATCGGCAGGCGGACTCTCAACCACAGCGCCACCAGGGAAGCCCGGAGCGAGATAATTATAGCTCCTACTGCACAGTGAGTGAAGTATAAGTATTTCCTCATCCTTTGCCGTTTTTCCTTCTGCCTCTTTCTCTTGTTTTATGTACCATGTATTTCTCCTCTCAGGTTTCAATAAGGTTTCTGCTTATTGTTCTCCTTGGAAACCCATAATTTGCTGTTTCATTCTACTGAAATTCTAACGTGTTCCAAGCTTGAGTTCTTACAAGCCTAGCTTAATTTCTTTTGAGTTTTCAGTGTGGGCCAGAGGTGTGTGCCTTAGCTCTGTGGTGTAGTAACATGAACACAAGCCCAGGCTTAAATCTCCTTTCTGCCACTTATGAGCTCTGGGCTTTGGGGGAAATTACTTCACCTCTCTGGTTAAGTAACTCAGAAGTTTCTCAATCTGTAAAGTGGGAACACTTTTCCAGTTGCCTGGGAGAATTAGATAAGATTAAGCACTTGGCCTGTAGTAGGGACTCAATCAATGTTAGTCTTATTCCTTTTTCTTTTTCTTCTTCTTGTTTCTACCTCTCATTTTGGAGAAGCAACCTGGGCTCACACAAGTGGTCCTCAAGCCAAGCAGCACACTAGCATCACCTGGGAGAGTTTTTGAACCAAAAGGAGGCGCTGGCTTCACCCCACAGAGTCTGATTCAACGAGCCTGGGGAGGGCCCAGCATTGGTCGGTTGTTGTGTTGTTGTTATGTTTAATGGTCTCCAGATGTTTCTAGAGTGGCACTAAATGAGGCAGAGGACACTGGTCTATCAAGGAGGGCAGGGTCGACCAGCACCTCCCACACACTTCTCTGGGGCTCATTTCCTCAAGTAGGCTTGTGAAAATTCAGTTAATCAATGTACATAAAAATCACAGAACACCGTGTCTGATGCATACTTCACATGTTTTTCAAGGATGTGAAAGAGGAAGCATGATGAAGGAAAAAAATCATTCCTCGTAAATTCTACCAGTAGAGGTTGACTTGTAAGAGTTGGCCCCAGGGCTTCCCTGGTGGTGCAGTGGTTGAGAGTCCTGCCTGCCGATGCAGGGGACACAGGTTCATGCCCCGGTCTGGGGAGATCTCACATGCCGCGGAGCGGCTGGGCCCGTGAGCCATGGCCGCTGAGCCTGCGTGTCCGGAGCCTGTGCTCCACAACGGGAGAGGCCACAACAGTGAGAGGCCGGCGTACCGCATTAAAAAAAAGAGTTGGTCCGAGGAGGCAATGTGACAACATTGAACTTGAGGTTCCGTGTCTTGCATAGACTGTGCCTGACTCTCTTCCCACATCTATTTTGTAGCTACGTTAGCCCAGATAGAGGATTGAGGTGTCCAGCGTCAGCCAGGTTGCTGGTTATGAAGCAGAGCCAACGCCCAGCACCCGTTTGTGGCCAGCCCTCTGCTCTTATGCAGATAACCTGACGCTGGGTGACCTTGCCTCCTTCCCATTGATTTTTCCCAGTAGTTAAACTGCAAGCGATCAATGAGAGAATGATCTACAAACAGGCATTTTTACCCAGCGCCATTTCAAGAGAAGTCTGTTTCTCTGGCTTCAGTAGCCTCTCAAATCGTAGGTCTGTAGGTAGCTTATTTCCCTTCTCCTTCCAAAGATGATGGTTAATCATTAGACCAGATTCCTCTCCATCTCCTCCTTCTGCAGTTCTCTTTAAAGGAGTTCTCGTTTGAGTTCAGTTGGAATTTGAGGCAGGAAGAGCAAAGTAAACTTTGCTTTTCTAAAAGCCAAGTTTAAAAGCTGAACGTTTTAATTTCCCAACTGAACAGAGTAAAAGTAAAATGAGGGCCAAACTGTTGTTACCATAGTAAGATAATGCATTTTTCCATAAACCTTGAAGAAAGCTCATTTCACAACTGATTCAAGTCAATAGAGATTTGTTGGCTGGTTGATAAAATATCACCAGGACCATTTTGAGCCTTAGCTCAAAGTGAAACATTTTCCAGTT